ATAAGCACCTAAAACAATTATTTGTTTGCTCAACATTATAGTAAAACTGTGTCACAGTTGAACTTTTACCTAAAAAAATGCACTTTAATGGGCAAATCAGCTGCATTTCACCGGGGCGGGGCAGCGAAATGAAGCCGATTTGACGGTTGTTCCAAACGAGCTGGACGAAGGTGGCACTCTATGGCAAGCCAATTGTGTCATTAATAGCCAATTTTACCTATTCCATGATACAATGGCATGCCATACTACTCTGGCACCATCTAGCAGTTGAAAATGGTAGTGTTCAATATTTTCAGTCAGAATAAATGAAACCAGTCATATCTCAGCCAAAAATTGTTTTAAAAATATTGGAAAAAAAATCCATAAACACGTTGCTTCAGCGTATAAGTCGCAGGGCATGTAAATTATGCAAAAAAACGCGACTTATATAATACGGTAATAAAAATAACTCATTTGTCTTTACAAGTAAACTTTAAAAAAATGTTTAATTAGTCTTTAAATTAATCTAAACGAGTCAAAAAGAGTTCATATGAGCCTTTCAAAATGTCTTATCTGTTCTAGGGGACTGATTAAAACAGCGTTGAATCATGTTTCCATCAGTATTTGTCAGATTAAACGTGCTGAGGCCTGGTCACGGCTACGATGCGAGAACTGGGTGTGTGCACGGATGTGGCGCGTTTCCAAAAAAAGGAGGACGGAGTTTAAAGTGAGGAGGGGCCTGTTGATGGGAGAAAAGTGGTGGGAAAATACGGAGGCACTCGTGGGACCAAACAAAGTTCACGAGCGAGTGGAGTGGAAGGAGGAGCCGAGGGGAGAGAGCCAAGCCCGTGTCGACAGGAAGTCCGTGTTGATGCTTCAAAATGACACAAAAATGGAGACTGGGGGGGTTTCTGCCAAGCTGCCAAAGTCAAAGCTGTTTAATCCTGACCGTGTGTTATTAATAGAAACTACAGGGAACTTTTTAAAAACTCGCTGCAGAAAATTAGCATCGATCTTGTTGTTGAGGAGAGAAACCGTCTCTAAAGCTTCAGAGATAAAAACCTGTTTTTATTATTTCCGTAGCAGCTGGAGGAGTTTCACTTTAATTCGCGAGCGGATGCTTGAAAGTTGCTTTTGTGCATCCGAAAGAGCCGAGGCGATAAAATAATATTACAAACTGCATTTTGTTTTCTGATTACGCAAGTCTGCAGAGAATGAAACCAACTGTAAAACCAGGAAACTTCCGAGTATTAATCTTCAACGTGTGGAGGAGGATGAACTCTGAGTCTTCAGTCAAGTTGTGTTTTAAACACGTCTTATGGAAGTCTTGTGTCATTTTAATTAAACTTTCATTGCTTACTATGACCATGAAAGACAGGCAAATAGGTGTGTGTTTGCTGTGTTAGCAAAATAACCCATGAAACAACGGACTGAACAGGTTTTAATGAAACTCAGAAAGTACCGTATTTTCCGCCGTACACGTCGCATCAGTCCAAATATGACTAATAAAGTGGAAAAATCCATAAATGCATCGCTTCGCCATATAAGTCGCATCTATTATGCGACACCGCTGATGCGTCCGTTTGTTACGTGTCATCGCTGACCACCAGGAAATGTGGGCCGGTGTTGTGCCAAAAATCGATTGGCTGCCAAATGGCGGCCGCGGGACTGTGCAAGGGAGGACTTTAACAAGAATTTAACAAGATTAACACTTAAAAACAATTATTTGTTCGCTTGAAATTATAGTAAAGGTGTGTCTCAGTTGAACTTTACTTAATAAATCACTTCAATGGTCAAATCAGCTGCATTTCACCGGGGCGGCGCAGCGAGATGAAGCTGATTTAACGGTTGATCCAGACATGATCCTGGAGATGGACGTATGTGGCAGGCTACGGCAAGCCGATTGTGTCATTAATAGCCACGTTTACCTATTACATGACACAACGGCATGCCATCCCAGTCGAGTGCCATCTAGTGGCTGAAAATGGCAGTGTTCAATATTTTCAGTTAGAATTAATGAAAACGGTCATATCTCAGCCAAAGATTGGTTTATAAATATGGACAAGAAATCCATAAATACGTTGCTTTAGCATATAAGTCACAGGGCATGCAAATTATGCAAAAAAACACGACTTACACAGTGAAAAATACGGTACTCATTAGATGTGCAACTCATTAACTTTTGAAGTGAAGCCCATTCAAGATGGCTGCCACGGCTGATCCTCTTCAGAAAGCACTAAACGAACTAAAAATCAGCCAGTTCTACAGATACTGAACTAAAATTTAGCGCGATAGCAGCCGTGAGTCCTCCCCAACACACACTCTGACACCACAGATTGTGTGACATCTTACATGAGGTCGTCATGGTTGGACCAAACAGATGCTGCGCCATCGTTTGAACCTCTGGAGACGAAACGCGTTCCTTCAAGGAACCAGATCAAGTTTTGTTCCTGATTTTTGGTTCTGTTTGTTTTGAGGGTTTTCTCCTTTAGGATCTTTATTTAAAGCGTTGTCGTGCAGAGCAGTGGCTCATTAGCTAACCCCTCAGGAAATGTTACTTATTGAACGACTTTTTGTTTTGTTTTCTGAATATCTGTGAATATCAGGACGGGTTTTAACAACATAATGAGCTCCTGCTCGGAGACTGTTGTGGTCCAGAAGAAGGATTTGGGAGTTTTATTTTAGCAGGAAAGCAGACGGCTGAGAAAACGGAAAATAATCATCTAACCCGAACCACATCCTGTCAGTGGAGTTTCCCTTTAATCCTTTGGGTCGACATTAAAGTGTGCCCATAATGAAAACTGTTCACTGAACTGAGTGTTGTGTTTGTTCCCTTCTGTTCCTGCGACAGACAATTCTCCTAAAAAGAGGTTTTAGAGACAGAGAAATGATGCGCAGATTATTTTTATCACCTGGTTATTATAGTTTGTTTTCACAGTTTATATGTTCAAAGTGCAACATATAATCGCCCTTTGCCGACTAATAAAATCATCCCTCTTCAGATGATGATTCATTAATCTCTTGTTGAAGGAAACTTATCGTCTGAAATCCAGCTGTTTGTTTGTTTTCTCCAGTTTGACTTTGCAGCTTGGCCAAAAATAACACCCACATCGGAAAAAAGAAAACAAATAAATGTCGAATGACATTTATAGATAGTAAACATGTAAAAAGACTTTTTTGAAAGTTGAAGTACAGCAAGCTGCTGAAAACCAAATGAACTCAATGTTAAGAAAACATGCCAGAAATAAAACAGAAATCTATCATTTCTATCATCCTCTCACAGAAAAACATGTTACACACTAACAGATAAAGGTTTAACTGGTTCAGCGTCTATCATTATATTTATAAATTGAAAAAAATTTAATCTAGAGAATTATGTGAATTAAATTAAATACCTCAAATCCTCCAATCACCAGCAGAGCATTAATATTATGGATCCTCATCTGCTCAGCAATCTTCTCCAGATGTTTCCCTGGAAGAGTCCTGATGTACACACAAAAGATTTTATTACAAATAAAACTTTACAACATTTTCATTTACAGTAGTCCCTCGTTTATTGCAGGGGATCCATACCTTGAAGCCCCAGGATAGGTTAAAACCACAAAGTAGGAATAGTAGTACAAGTAGTAAATAAGTAGTTTATGTTAGTGTATATATATATGTGTATATATATATATATATATATATATATATATATATATATATATATATATATATATATTATATTAAGGCGTTTTAAACTCTCTAAAAGAGCACAGAATGAAATGATTTCAGCTCTCTGCCTCCGCTGCTCTCAGCTAACTGCAAGCGTTCTTGGCCACGCCCACTTCTCTGCTCTGCACGGAGAACAGCTGATCAGCTGCAGCAGGAAGCTTATCCTGCAGTGTGGGCTGCACAGAGGTGCAGCAGGTGCTAAATCGTTTAAAATAATTAATTTTATATAAAAATTTCATGCCGATCGTGCGGCTCATCCATCAATCAGCCGACTGTGTGTCGTGTTCAAACTTATTTTGAAAAGCCGCGACAGAGCGAGTCCGTGGTAAACGAACAGTGAAGTAGCGAGGGACTACTTTGTGGTCAAAAAGTTCAGACTCATCCACCACTTTACTGATTTTTAAATACAACCAGTTAGAGCCCACAGAACGAGCCGTAAAACTATTTGAGAGCAAACATTTGGGTCGTGTCAACAGCTCAAGTGCAATGAATGATTCACCTTTTTGTCCCCAGGAGGGACCCCCCCTGGCCAGTCCAGCCTCCAACGTCTCCCCAACCAATCTCTTTGATCTGAGAGGATAAAAAGAACAAGTTCATGTTTCTTTCATTGTTACTCTCTTATCAAACTGATGAAGGATCCACTCTGAGCAACAAACGTCGTCTTTAAATCCGCTCATGAGGCGTTCTGGGTGCATGAGACTAACGGAGACGCCGAATCTGGTTTTGTGTTTTGGTTCAAAGCAGCAGGCGCCGCTAATCAGATTAGATCAGGATGTGTCGTATCAAGGTGGAAACGCACACACGTCAGCCAGCTGAGGAGGTGGAAGCAGGTTTATTGTTGAAGGAATAAAAGATTTCATTCAAGCAACACGAGAGAGTTCCATTTCCCCCGTCTGCTCTCCTCTCTGTTCTGTCTGCAAACGAGCAGCTCCTCGTCACAAGCACGCAGAGAGGGGGGTTAATCAGGGGTTCACTTGTCCATCACATCTAATCTTCCTGCACGACACCTCCCCTCAGAGAGAGAAGGTCACACCACGGAGCGCGTGCACGCATCAGAGTGCGTGTAATCAGTGGAGTGTGTTGAAAACACGTGCAGCAGCATCGTCGTGGAGAACTTGTAGAAGCAGCACTGTTCACTGGAACCTCTTATCATCAACATGGATCTGAGGGGGGGTCACTTTTACTTTAACCACTGCAAAATGTATTTGTTTATTTTATTATTATTTAGGGTTAGTGGCCCCTGAGCAGTTTAGTTGAATAGCCCTGATCTAACGTATTGTCACTTATAGTTTTAAATGCATTTTTGCTGCAAGTCTTTGTTGGAAACACAAGAAAATATTATACAAGTTATTATAATCCTGAGCAGGACTAGTTTTAATGAGCGGTTCCGCTCCGCTCATCTTATACGTCATGAACTGCCCAGACCTCTCAGATCAGCAAACACGTGGTTTTAGATGTTGATTTTAAACTGTATAACTTTTATAAATGATCTTTGAAGTTATTGAAATACGTATGTTGGTGTGTGTACATGTGTGAATATGTATTTTTACCTTGTTCTTCTTAACTGGTTTTTATTCTGTAAAGCAGTGTTCCCCAAACTCTGGGTCGTGGACCAGTACTGGTCTGTGGGTCAATTGGTACTGGGTCTCACAGAAAGAATACACAACTTACATCATTTCCATTTTATTTAGTATCTGATTATGAACATAATGTTTTAGTTTGGCAAATTACTGGATTCTCTCCGCCACATCTGTCTATGACTCACTGCTGACGCAGGTCGAGGTGCTCGCCTCGGTCACATGCCTGCCTTCTTAAAGGGTTAAATAAAGCTGCATACACAGTGGATTCACATTTATTATTATCTTTAGAACTACCAGTTTTTATGCTGGTCTTTCATTTTATTTTGTTGCATTTATTCGCCACACATTAAAGGCCGGTCCGTGAAAAATATTGTCTGACATTAAACCATTCTATGGCGCCAAAAATGTTGGGGACCGCTGCGGTAAAGCACCTCGAGTTGCCTCCTCGTATCAAGTGGGCTTTATAAATAAATTTGCCTTTGAGCAGTTCCCACACTGAGATAAGGTCTCTGCAGTTTGGAGGTCCTAACGGCTGCAGCTTCAGTCTCCACGGGTTTAATCTCCTCTTTTCAACTTAAAGTCAGGAAAGGCGTGGACGCTGTTCACAGGCACATCTAAGGAAAAGGAGCCTCTTCTCCATCAGTTAGATAATGAAGGTCAACAGAAACCTTCCTGACTCCATGAAGTTTAGAATAAATGTTTATACGGACTACTTGAAAAGTTAAAAAATTAAAACAGAACGGGTCCACACAGAAGCATGAACAGAATACAAAGCCATGTTTAAAGTTGACTCAGTGAAAGGGTTAGGAAGAAGACGAGCAATGGATGTGAGAATCTGTATAGATATAAGAAGATGAGATGAAGGAAGTTTGGCTTCTCACAAAAACCAACGAGCTGCTCTGGATTCAAAAACCAGAAAAGGAAACAGATGAGATCAAAGAATTTGAGCGTTTGAATGACAGAACTTTAACTCTGCAGATGTTGTGGACACGAAAATAATCATTCTCAACAGAAACACGTTGTTGTTGTTTTTTTTACTTTAATCTTGTCACAGATCTGTCGGTGAGTGCACGTGTCCGGTCTCACCTGTCCTTTGTAGAAGCCCTCGAAGCCGTCGTTCACTGCAAACATTTTGTGGCCTTCGGTGATTCCCACCCTGACGGCAGAACGCACGGCGGCGTTCATCCCTGCAGCCGGGGCGCCCACGTTCAGCACGGCCACGTTAAAGGAGCTCTGAGAGAGATTGACAGCAGCACACACATGCACACATGCACATATATGAACCCAAATGACTGCGACTCAGCAGCAGATGTCTCTGGTGTGCATGCGTTACAGCCGTATGTTCCAGCAGCTTTGACACGTTTTTACATCAACACACTCCGGCCGTGAATCTTGCACTAAGCTCACAAACAGCTCGTGTGACGCTCAGTTTAAAAAAAAGATTCACATTTGTAGATTTGAGCAGAAATAAAAACACTCCCTTAGCTGAAAGGAAAACTAGAAAACTTGCACCTTTGTGTCTGCACCGTCTAAAACAGGGGTGGGCAATTATTTTTTCCATGGGGCCACATGAGAAACAACAAATATTGTGGAGGGCTGGCACAAATGACTTTTTCATTCAACCTTTATTTAGACAGGTAAATCCCATTGAGCCTCGAGGAATCATTTACAAGAGAGACCTGATTTCAAGTTAACTCAATACTGCATAATAATAGTATTTCATTATTAAAAGAAGTACATAGCACTGTTTTAACAAGCTGGTAAGAGTATTTGTTATGATTAAGCAACGAAAAAGCGAGGTTTCCTTACGAAAAATGTCATTTATTCAATTAAATTTCCCAGTACAATGGTAAACTGTTAACATTTTTACCATTTGAGACATTATATTAATGATAATTTTCAGTCACATTCACCCCAAAACTCATTTTGAGTTTTATATACTGCTGGAAAAAGTTCTTATCTTTCTAAATATATCACAATATTGTCTTTGTACTCCAAATATTATGAAACATCATATAATAGTGATCGTCACTGAACTGTGATTTCGAGTCCCGGTTCTTTACGTGCCTACATTTGTAGTCTAAACATCTCATTTGGTGTTTTTCAGTTCTTTTTTCTTGTTTAGTGAGAGAAGTCTAGTCTCTGTTGGGCTTTAACGGAAATGTTAAAGTCAGGTTGAAGGTCTGAGGTGGAGATGTGAAGCAAAGCTGACATGATCAGTGAGAGAGGATCTATATCTGGATTTGGTTAACTTCATTTGTTTACATATGTATTTTGTAATTCCCCTTACGGGGGCCGGTCAGAGTCAACCAAAGGGCCGCATGTGGCCCTGGGGCCGTACAATGCCCAGGTCTGGTCTAAAAGATGCCACGACCTGCTGAGGAGCTCCACAGCAGAGTCACATGCAACAAGACACACGCCGAGGAACAACGCAGTTCCTTTGATTTCTCACCACAATCTGAAAAAATAGGATTCGACTAAACTAAATACCGTAATTTCCGGTCTATAAGCTGCTACTTTTTTCACAGGCTTTGAACACCACCACTAATTTATGGATTTTTTTATTTATTTTTGGGACGGGCTAAGGAGCTTTCTGCCACCAAAGCATCCAGCCTCGTCACACCCGGGTGCTCACATAGCTGCTCAATACACGTCCCTCGTGGAGAGTGGGTCCTCGTGACTCAATGAGACTACTTATATGAAGAAAGATTTAAAAAAACTATGAACAGATCACAGTGGACCAATGAAACAGAGGAGGGGGAGAATCCCCCTCATGCACAGAGCAACTTTCACCGACTTCCTGGTAGAATACTGCATTTTATTTGACAATGAAAGAGACTGAGGACGTGAGTGATGAAGTTTTTCTGAGGCTGTTCAATTCTGACATTGAAGAAGACTTTAGTGTTTTAGTGCACAAGAGGAAGATGAATATAGAGATTAGTGACTTTTTCTAATAGGCTACTTTTTTTTTTTTTTTTAACCAGCCGTGTTAAAGGCATTGTTTAAAAGAATAAAACATTGTGTTACCGGTACATAAAAGTTTTTAAAAATCTTTCTGTGTGAATATCTCATATTACAATGTGGACACTCGTGGCTTATACACAAGCACAGCTTAATATGTATAATTTTTAAAATGTATTTATTTGTTGTTGTTGTTGTTGTATGTGCGACTTAAATTCGAGTGCGCTCTATAGTCTGGAAATTACGGTACTTGAATTTTGTCGATGCACACCAGGTTTCCAGCAGTTTGTAGCCCAAACTTTACAGCAGATTTTAATTTGTGACTATGTGGCTCATGTCTGACTAATCGGTTTAACAAAATTCACTCACAGCGCACAAATGCGCTTTCATTTTAAATAAATGTCAAAATGTAAGTTTCCACTCCGCTGTAAATCACCGAGTCGCATCTTTCTCAGATTTGCAGCTGAAGCCAACAAAATCAAAAAGATGCCGTTTTTATTTTGAAGGAGACTCCTTCACCTGGAAAGTCGATCCTCCTGAAAGTGTGGTGCACTGAACTGCGCCTCATGTTTTATTTAATGTGACGATGACACGAGATAGCAGAGCCGAGGCTCCACCAGCTGACGAGGAACAAGCCGATACTTATTTCATTTAGCAGAAGGAAGAATAACTACTGCAGTTGTTTCCACAGTTATAGCCCAGAAATTAGAATGTTTTCTGCACATAATAAATAATTATGATTTTTACTTTTATACATGCAACAATAAACACTAATAGTGTGCAGCTGAGAATAAATATAGTAGGAAATGTACAGTAAAAATGTTTTTCCATGTATTATAAAACCCTACCAATTGTAGAAAAGTGCTATTAGTAGAAGGCTTTTCAAATTGTGTATATAATGTGGATTTAATTGCATAAAGTCTAAGAGAACATGGAGCCTGTCCACTTTGAGGTATGAATGACCAATATGTTCTTCTAGGTTCCTCACAGACTGGAGGTTTATTTGCAGGAAACCTTTTCAGATTCATGTGGAGCAGATCTCTCCCAGCTGTCCTTGAATGCAGCGCTGCAGCATTAATGCACTTCTTTTAATGCTTGCACTCTGCAGCAGAGCCATGAAGAAAGAAGCACAGCCAACATGCACTGAAACTGGCACTTAAGTTCATTTTGCTTAAATAAAATATAGCACAACTTCAAATTGTATCTGAGGTCTGAGGAGCTAAATAGCAGCTAACAACTCAAGACATGGAAGCTAACAGCTAATTGTATGAACGGCACCAGCAGAAGCTCCAAAAGAGAAACCATCACATAAGACTGCTTTTCATCCCCCGCCTTCTCCTCTTCCTCCCTCTCATGTCCATCCCAGAAAAACAGAAACTAAGTTAATGTCATTAAAAATAAAAAAAACTGCAGCACCCACAATGCACCTGACTGAAAGTTCCTGAACAAAGCTCACAGCGGCTGCAGGAAAAGACACATTACCGGTAGACGAACTTAAAAACACTTGTGTTCTTGATGTTTGTTGGTAGTTGTGCTTACATTTGGGAGTTCAGAATCTGCTTTGCGGGAGGCGAGCAGTCTGTAGGTGGTCAGATTATGTTCAAAGCTCCTGCAAATTGAAAACAAAGGTAACCAGTTTGGGGGAAATGCTAAGGATTTCCAGCGTGTGTTTATTGAAGGAAAAGTGTTTAGTCAGTCGTGGATCAATGCAAACGCCAATGAACTGAAGGCCACGGCCAAACAACCGTGTGTTAGTCAGACTGTTTTGTTTACTATCATACATTTTATTTGTGTACAAACTGACAATAATGCTGGATAATGCATATACAGCAGGAGTGTATTTTATATCATGCAAGCCTCATAGCTCTGATTAAAGTCCATGCAGCAGCTCTTTAACACTCGGAGCGTTCAGTGCAGTTTTTAATATTCTTTGCAGGCACAATGGTCACATGCACATTACAGACATTTTGCATGAACCTTACCTGCCGCGCAGCCTGACTGCCTCTTCAAACTTCTTCTCATCCATGGCTTTCTGCACCTCCTGGGTCTGAGGACAAATCAAACATCACATCTGCTTTTGCAAACAAGCTTGCTCCTCTTACACCTTTTGGTGCATGTTGGTGCACGCCAGATAACGGGAAACACCTGAGCACGGTAACTGAGTGCAGAACCAACCGTCTGACAGTCAAAGTCTGAGTCCAGCTCACACTCACCATCTGAACACACTCCATGAGTGGCAGGCGGACAGCCTGGTTCCCAACTAGAGACACGACGCAGGCCGGGGTGTCGGTCGACGCCTCCAGTAACGCCAGCACCGCCTCCACGCCCATACGACTAGCCTGGGAAGTTATTTAAGAAGTTATTTTGGTTTAGGCACCAGATCATCACTTCAAATCACAAAACTTAAATGTTAGAGTTGCATGACTTGCCAAAATCCTGTCAAAGGCAGATGGGGTCCCACCTCTCTGAACATGGCCCAAGATAGTGACCCTGGTGTCAAAGCCCAGGCGGCTCACTACCAGCTGTTTGCAGAGACACCATGAATTTACACGAGAACTGAAATGCTGGAAATTCTCACCAATAATACTTCAATGGCGTATTAGCTACTATATATATATGTAGTGTATCAAATAATTTAAAAAAATAATTCAGAGGTTTCACTTCTGTGAAGACTGACTATACAAGTTGAAAACTCTAGATTGCATGCATGTTCAGCGTGAGAATAAAAATAATTTGAGCTTTAAAATGTTTTATAGCACCTTCAAATAAAAGTGTTTTAAATGACCAGAAAAGAACAGAACCACGTGTCAAATAAATACATAAATAAAAATAAAAAAAACAGAGGAGAAACCATGCAAAACTTCTCCTGTCATGTTGGTGAATGCCCATTTATGCACATGCAAATGAAACTTGCAGGAACAGAAACGTGATGTGAAAAGTATATGAATGATTAAAAAAAATTCCACTAAACAATAAAAAAATTTAAATAATTTAAATGGAAAAAATCGTCAGGAATTACCACATGTAAAAATAAAAACTGGTGCATGTTTCCGCAGTGAAGGAAACCATCATCACCATGAGAAGGAGAAAAACTCATGCTTCTGAAGGAGCATCCCAGACGTGGCGCTAACTCTCCACCATACTTACATCCTTGATATAATCTGGGGTTATTGCCTTGTTGTGGCAATCAGTGGCGCCCTCGGCTACAATAATAATGTTCAGCCGTTTCTTATCAGCGCGGTTCTAGAGAAATATAAAAAGCACAAGCATTTGAGAACATGACAGAAAAGCTTTGCTGCCAAAAGCTGGATTGAATTATTGAGGATCATCTCAAGACAAGCTAACGCTGCCCATTTGGTGGTATATTTTTTTTAACAACCAATAAAGCTCTTTCAATATTTGTTAAAACAATCAGTAAATTAAAATTTATTTTTAAAAGTGGCAAAAATCTCAGGGGCAGGCAGAAAGTTGACTCCTCTGCAGCTCGGTGGAGACCCCATGAGAACCATTACATTCCACCAGCTGGTCCAGCTTCTGGTTCTCCTCTGCGCTGGTCTGAGACTGAGCTCTACTCACGTTCTTCACAAAATCAGTGGTTATGTGTTGTCCTTTACTGTCACAGGCGCCTTCAGCAACTATCACGATGTTCAACCTGGAACCCCGAGATCGAGTCTGAACGATAACAAACACACTCTTGTTAAACTCTGAAGGAGGGGTGGCGTGTGTGCTGGACTCTGGGTGGCAGGGAACACGTGCATGAGCAACAGAGTTGTGCTTTGGTAGTTCAATATGATATTCGTGGGATATTTTTCACTTGTACACAACAGAGCTAAAGAGCTCTGTTGTGTTGCTGATTGTGCACGAGACTTCTTGTAAGAATGTATTAGACTTTTGAACATTGTTTTATTTGGACTTTTAGAACTGACACCATTGGCCTCCATGTCCAAACATCTTTGACACATTAGGTCAAGCAGAGGGCTCTGTGGCGCAATGGACAGCGCATTGGACTTCTAGT